TGGAACTGTGAAGATCACCATTTTTCAGATTAAGAAACTGAGGCTCACAGTGTGAAATAACACTCTCTGGAAAGGTGAGTGACCAGGTCTGGATTTGAACCTATAATTCCAGAGTGTTTGTTCTTTCCACTGAGATTGCTAGATTGCTGGTGTCTGGGGTCCGGTGGCTGAAAGCACTGACTTCTCTTGTTTCTTTTTTCTATTAAAAATATTTATGTTAGTTTTCATGCCTAAAAAAGCAACAAATAGCAATGAGAACAAGTGATTTACTGCTCATACATAATGTGGACAAATCTCACTAGAGCTCTGATGATTGAAAGAAGCCTGACACAAAAGAGTGAGATTCTCTTTATACAAAGTCACACACACACAGAGAAAAAATTCATCTCTTGTGATAAAAGTCAGTCTCTTGGTGACTCTTGCGGTGAGCATTAGGGACCGAAAGGTAGCCCCAAATGTATCTCTTGGGAGCTGGTCATGTTTAGGGTATTTTTTGAGTGTTGGGTACACAAATAGATTCAGTTTGTTAAAATTACTCAAGCTATGAATTTAAGGGATGTGTGCTTTCCATATGCAGGTCTTGCCTCAAAACAAGCATAAATTGAAGAAAAAAGTGAAAAGGTAGAAAGGGAGAAAATAAAATTGGGTATAATCCCACTCACTCAGAAATCACTGTGATTAGCCAGGCATGATGGTGGGTGCCTGTAATCCCAGCTACTTGGGAGGCTGAGGCGGGAGAATGGCTTGAACCTGGGAGGTGGAGGTTGCAGTGAGCTGAGATTGTGCCATTGGACTCACTTCAGCCTGGGTGACAGAGCGAGACTCTGCCCACCCATCCCCCCAACCCACAAAAACGGAGAGAAATCACTATGATTAATGTTGTCTTGATGTATATCTTGTAAAATGTTCCCACATGTGCACACACGCGCACACACATCCGCAAACATATGTGATGGAGTTTCTGGCTGTGTTGGGGGTGATTATCCTAACCTGGAGGGTGGACCATCTTGTCTTTTGTACTAACAGGAATAGGAAGTAAACCAGGGTCAGTGATCTTGGAAGAGCTGGGAAGGGATAGGTCCGAGAGACCCCAGATGTCCCAAG